CTGCCCTCCATGCCCCCACGGACGCACCCCTCCACGCCCCCCTTCCTCTGCCCTCCACGCCCCCCTTCCTCTGCCCTCCATGCCCCCCTTCCTCTGCCCTCCACGCCCCCCTTCCTCTGCCCTCTACCCCCCACGGACGCACCCCTCTGTGGCACGCAGGCTCCCACTGCCAAACAGGTTTCGGATGGAGCGGGAGGCGGGAAGCTTGGCGTCCCGGGAGTAGAAGACCATGCAGAAGTCCTTGGTGATGACGGCGGGCTGGGTGCAGTTCTCCATCTGTGAGGGCGGAGGGTGGAGGCTGGGCATGGTGGGTGGGGGCGGGGGTGGGCCGGGGAGGGCACTGGAGTACCCAGCCCTCCCCAGCCGTAGGGCACCCACCCCAGCCCTCCCCAGCCGTAGGGCACCCACCCCAGCCCTCCCCAGCCGTAGGGCACCCACCCCAGCCCTCCTGGGCTCAGCAGCACAGCCCCGAGACCCCTCAACACACTGCACCCCCCCCCAGGCCTCAGCCTGGGCTGAGCCTCTGCAGGAGGTGGCCTGGGCCGGGGCAGCTCCATCCCAGACCTGGACCTCTCGCACTCAGTCCTGGCCACCTCACCACACCCCCAGGGACACCCTGACACCCGTGAGGAGCAGGCTGACCCTGGCCTCCGCCGTCTGTTCACACTACAGACATCCCTGTCCAGGCCATCTGCCCCGGGAGTCCTGCAGGCTGTGGGGACAGGGCCTGCTGGCCCAGCCATGCCCAGACCGCCGCTTCATCTCGCCAGGCCACACGCTGCCCCCTCTGCCCAGCCTGAGGAATCTGCCTCCATGGAGAGGGGGTGGCCCAGTTCCTCAGCCCCTCCTCCACCACTCCTGTGCCCCCCAACCCTCATGCCCCAGCCTCTGCCTCAGACAAGCCACAGCATCATCTGGAAAGGCCCTAGGCTACAGCTCCCGAGAAAAGGAGCTGCCTGGAATACAGATGCAATGTCTGGTGGTGATGCAGCTGTACTGCAACACTACAGACAAAATGCACGGCTGAGCATGGTGGAGTGTGAGCACACGGACTCCACTCAGGACTCGAGCCCGGAGCTCACCGGAACCTCACTGTCCCCCCCCCCAGCCACCCCAGAGGGCCCAGAGCTCACCGGAACCTCACTGACCCCCCCAGCCACCCCAGAGGGCCCAGAGCTCACGGGAACCTCACTGACCCCCCAGTTTCTGGGGTGCCCAGGACACAGTGCTTGCCTCGATGTAGGCAGAGAGGGTCATGTAGATCTTCTCCCGGTACGGTGTGACGCGGTTCAGCAGCAGGGAGTTGTGCATGGAGCTGTCCCACGCTGCCTCAAACTGGTAGAAAGTCCTGGAAGGAAGCAGACAAGGTAAAAGACAACGTGTGGGGCTGCCTCCAGCAGGAACACACACACTCAGACAGACAGACAGAGGGAGCTACTGGATAGAGGGCGGGGACAGCGCGCGGCACCAGGGGACACCAGGCCTGCTCACCGGCCGGGCCATGCGTGCCCGCCCCTCAGTGGCTACCCCTGTGAACTCCAGTTCTCCCAGCTCCCAAGGGAGGACTGGAGGCCGGGGAGAGGGAGGAGGAGGCATGGAGGGCTAACTAAGGATGCACAAAGTGGGAGAGACGGGGAGGGGAGGAGAGCAGGCGGGGAGGGGAGGAGGGCAGAGCCGCTTCCTGTCCCATCTCAGCCTTAGTCTGAGCAAGGAGTCTCACAGTCCCTCCAGGCCTGAAGAGGACCTTCCTGGGTCTGCCCCAACGCTGGGCCCCTCCCCTGCATGAGCCAACTCGCCCTCCCACCCCAGAGGAAGGCCCTGGGCGAGGATGCTTGGAGTGGGAGCCACCCCCAGGGTGCGACCTGGCCCCCGGGAAGGAGGGTCTCCGGAAGCATGGAACACGGCTGTCTCGCCACTGGTCTCCAGCCCAGAGAGGCCTAGTGCGGGGCACACCATGGCCAGGAAGCCGAGACCTTGCCGCCACCATGCCCCACCCCTCATGGTCCCCCAGGAGCTGCTGCCCACACTCCCCACCCCTTCCTAGGGCAGGTGCTCACTCCGAGGAACTTTGCCCCCGTCCACAGCCCGCTGGTCCTGGAGCGAGCTCCCATCCAAGCATCCTCAGTCACAGTGGGGGCAGGGTGCTCCCCGCGGACAGAGGGCCGCAGCGTGCCCCGCAGAGCAGGCCCCTGCCGAGCACAGAGCGGGCTCCCAGGGCCCTGTGCCACCCTGCCTCCCGCAGGACGCACCCCAGGGCAAAGAGGCAAGGCGGAACGGCCAGCCAGGGCCGCCGCGTAGAGTCCAGAGGGGGGACAGCGGGCACAGGGCAGGGGACGTAGCCACCAGAGTGGGGACACGACACAGGGGACAGAACAGGCAGGCGTCGGAGAAGAGAGGACAGAGACAGCGGAGAACGAGCAAGCAGGGGTGGGGGAATGGCGTCTGTACCTAGTGTCATTTCCGAAGGAAACGCTAAGGGAGGCAGCCAGACACACGCACACACAGAAGAGAGGGAGACGTCAGAGGCGGCTCTGCGCGGCCCGGCACAGCCGCGCGCCGGTCAGGTGCCGCGGCACAGCCGCCCCACCCCAGGGCTGCAGAGGGCCAAGTCTGGGGGGGCGGGGCGGGCTGGAGCCAGCGCCCAATGCTGCCCGGCAGGAACCGTGGGGGGAGGCCACGAGCGACAGCGAGTGATCGCTGCCCCCACCTCAGACTAAGCAACTGCGGGACACGGAGGGCCGGGAGCCGGGTGGCGTCACCTCTAAGCCAACGCCTGGTGAGGCCTGTGCGGGCCCCAAGGCCCCGGTGCCTGAAGGGGGTGTGGACAGGACACCCATCCACGTGCCCCAACCGGCCCTCCAGCCCAGGGCCCCGGCACCCCATCCCGTCCTAGGGACGCCTGGAGAGGGGGCAGCCAGACCCGCGCCGGCCTGGTGAGATAAACCACCTCCGGTGCCTTCACCAGAGACCCCAACGCTGAAACCAACCTGAGAACTGGGGGAGGGGTCTCCTCAGGGGGTGCAGGCGGTGGGCGGGGCTCTGCTGGACCCAGGTCTGCAGCCGCTGCCCAGGTGGCTCAAGGCCGAGTGTGGCACGGGCATCCGTAACGCTCTCCTCAGGTCCCTTCCTCAGGGACGGGAGCAGCGCACACAGGGCTCCGGACCACACCAGCCAGGGCTCTACAGTCGCAGACCTGGCGCTCCAGGCAGTACCCCAAGACCCACATGGGACAACGTCGGGGAAGGGAGAGGGAAGGGCGACCCCCAGAAGACCCACTACACCTGAAAACCAGCACCTCCGCGGCACAGAGCAGCATGAAGGCCCGGGCGCCTGGGAGTGGACACCTCACCCACCGTGGGGAGCCCCAGGGTGAGTGCTGGGGGTCCCGAGTCCACCCTGGACCCCCACGCTGTGAGTGAGCTCAGATCTGCGGGCTCTGTGCGCTGGGCTGCCCCTGGAGGCACCCGGCCTCCACGTTTGCTGACAGTGACCTCAATGGACTCAACCATTAGGAGGCAGTGAGCAGACCAGACACATAGCCCAGGCTGGGCACAGGGCCTCTGGGAGACCTACTGGATGCAGATTCTGGGTCGGAAACACAAGGATCCGAGCTGGGCCTGCAGGGCCTCGCCCTCGGCTCTGCGACCTCTCCATCTTTCAGACCTTCCAAGTCCCCCTGTTCCCGGGCAGGAGCCCAGGGCGGGGCCTGGCCTCCACCGCGGGCTGGCCAGCTGTCCTGAGCCCCTGCCTGCTCCCCTTCCTTCCCAGAGCCCTATTCTGAAGAGAGGGCTAGGAAGCTCGAGGCTGCAGCAAGCAGAGCCCAGGGCAGGTGACACAGAGCCCTTCAGGTGACAGGCTGGTCAGCAAGGCTCCTTCCCAGCCAGCCTGAGCTACTGGGGACGTGCAGGGCTGCCGGATGGCTCTCCTTCGTGGTTGGGAGCTGAGCTGCTCTCAGAGGCCCATGAGCAGGGCCCCTGAATTCAGCGGCAGGACCTGCAGGTCCGGGGCTCAAGCAAGGCCAGCCCTCCTGGGGAGTGTGAACACTGAGGGCCGTGGGGCACCCCTCCACCCCAGTCCTGCCTGACAGCGCCAGCGGACCTGGGCAGTGTCCCTTGGCCCCATGTTTGTAAACTGAGACCATGTGTTGGCCTGCCTGGCTTGCAGGGCTGTGATGCACTTGGCACCGGGCACTGGGGGCCCAGGAAGCGCACCTCTGTACCTGGTCCTGGAGAGGCCGTTCACAGAGCCTGAGGCCCAGCCGAGAGCACACACATGCCTTAATGAAAGGATCAGCATGTCAGCCCTCGAGACCCATAGGAAAGAGCCCTCAGCACACCTGCCTGACAGAGCAGAGGCCACGGAGCCGCGGGCAGCCTGGAGGCCACTGCCACGCTGGGCAAGGAGCACCGGGGGACGGACACACCACCGCGACCCCACCTGTCCAAGGACTGTGCTGTCAGAATGCGACCCTTCCTCCTGCCTTTGCGTCCTCACCCAGCATGCCGTGGGACCCTTTACCAGCACATGAAGATCAAACCCTTAGCTCAAGCCACCTGATGCCAGAAGCTCACAATGCCCAGGAAGTACGTTTCTAGAAAAGGCACTAAATTCAGGAATGCCCTAGGCTCTGACGCCAGGCGCAGCTCGAGCAGTCAGACTGGGACAGACCAGAGATCAGAGCAGCCGAGTCCTCTCATAGAATGGACAATCACGCAGACATTGCGCAGGCCAAGCAGCTGCAGCTGACATGCACGGGAGATGTGGCACACGTGGCCCGGTGCTCCCGAGCACTGCCTGAGCCCTTCCTCTCACCTTTGGCCTGCCTTCCCAGCTACATCAGGGTCAACTGGAGCTGGACCGCCCAGGCCTGTCCCATGGGGAAGCAGGAAACTGAAGAACCTAATGTTTCCCCTTGGACCGAGAAGTCCAGCTCAGCAGCCCACATTCAGGAGATCGAGGTGGGGAAGGGTGAACCCTGGGAGGGCAGGTCAGAACAGCTCGAGGCAGGGGTGTTGCCCCTGTTCTGGAAACCTCCTGGATTTTGGCCCAAGTTGGGATGAGAGTCACCAGGCAGCGCAAAAGAGCCATACCCGGCTCCCACCAGAGCTGGGCTGCCAGGCACCCAGGAAAACAGGCACTGGGGCTGCATCCCCAGGTGGCCAGAGCTGGGCTGCCAGGCACCGAGGAGAACAGGCTTCACCTGACCCGCACTGCCAGGCACCCAGGAAAACAGGCTCCCACCAGAGCTGGACTGCCAGGCACCCAGGAGAACAGGCTTCACCTGACCCGCACTGGGGCTGCATCCCCAGGTGGCCAGAGCTGGCCGCTAGCCCTCATCAAGAGCCAACCTTCCCTCCATGGCCCCCAACAACCCACATCCGAAGGCCGGCGTGGGAGGCCGCTGTCCATGGGAGAGGAGCTGGCGACCAGACCTGCTTTTAGCAAAACACCGACCAGAGGCAGCAGCTGGGACTGGCCTGGCCCAACGGCTGCCCCCCCCCCAGCCCCCCCTCCTGTGCTCAGGACACAGCTGGCTGCTCCGTCCTGTGACATCACCCACCCAGCAGGCTTGCCACCTCCACCTCTGCTCTGTGCAGTCGAGGGCCCCCGCAGGCTACCTGGCCCACACGGCTCTGTCCCAGGACAAGAATGCTGTTGGGCTGGGCGCTGGTGGCTCACGCCTGTCATCCTGGATACTAAGGAGGTTGATTTCTGAGAATTGCAGTTCAAAGCCAGCCCGGGCCAGGAAAATCCACGAGACTCATCTCCAATTAATCACCAGAAAACCAGATGTGGCAGAGTGGCTCAAGTGGTGGGAGGGGAGCCTGGATGGAGCTGCTCTTCAGCCTGCCATGGGCGTCCGAGAAGGAAGCCACAGCTTCAACAGCCCGCGGACCCTTCTGTCCCCCAGGCCAGCCTGTGGCCCAGGGCAGCGGCAAACGGCCCCAGAAAAGGGACAGCGAGTGACCGAACCTTGAACCAGTGTAGCCCACCATGCCATAGCCCTCATCTCGTCTACTCTCCTGCCAACTGTGTATGTGTGCGACCATTGATCAAAATGGCTGCGTTAGGATAATGCCAGGCTGGCGAGAACGGGCAGCAGCCACAGCCACAGCACAACTCCGGATCTGACGGGCAGGCCTGGGCGGCAGCCTTTCCCACCCAGCTCATCCACCTCAGCGACCGCAGCACCTGCTATTCTCATCCTTAGGGAGAAGAGAATTACATTCCAGAAGGTTCTGCCACTTGTCCACACCTCCACAATCAGCAGTGACTCCCCCAGGCTGCCTGAGCCCTCAGCATGGCTGCAGCCCCTGCCCTCCCGTGTCTCGGGAGACATTCCTTCTGCCCCACTCATTGGGAGGTACTGCCTGATGGCGGACCTCTGCTCTGAAGAACTGGGCCCAGTGAGGAGCCCCAAGTCCAAGACGGAGGCCCCCATCTTCCTGTGAGGGAGGCCTCTGCTTGAAGGCCAGGTCCGGGGCTGGGCTGCCCGTGGGGGCCGACAAGCTCTGGTCTGGCACGAGGAGGGCAGGTGGCCACCAGAGGGCCAGCCCCCCCCCCAGCCCCCTGCCGGGTCCCAGGGCAAGTGCCTCGTGGGGCCTGGGGCAGAGGAAGGAGGCCCAGGGGAGTGGAGGCTAGCTCCCTCTCCCCTCCCACTGCCATTTCCTTGCTTCATCCGGAACTTTCCGAAAGCCCCGGGTTTTTGTACCCAGGGTTTCTCTGGGAGCAGAACCCTCAGACAGAGATCATGGAACCCAAACACGACCAAACCGTAGAACCCCTGGTACCAGCCCGCCATGCTACGACTCGGCTCCTGCTGCACCCTCCTGAGATCCTGTCAGTGCAGTGCGCCGGGAAGTGCGACGGCAGCAGGGAGAAGAGCGAAGAGCGGAGTCCAGCTGCCCGCCCCCAGGGCCGCGGCAGACCGCCCCTCTGCTCCGGGCCCGCCCCCAGGGCCGCGGCAGACCGCCCCTCTGTGCTCCGGGCCCGCCCGTGCTTCCTGCTCAGGCATGGCCACCACCTTTGCTTCACACAGCCCAGGGCCGCAGCAGCCCTCGAAGGGTTTGCGCGTCCGCACAGGTGCACCCGTCTGGGATACCGGAGGGACTGCCACAGCCCCGCAGGTGTCTGAGGCCTCTGCCTGGGCACAGCGGACAGCCCCGGGCCACTATTGCGGCCACCGCCTGTATGACCCACCGCAGCCACGAGCTGGCAGACACAGCTGCACCCACCTCCCCCGGGACCCAACCAGGGCGGGGACAGCACCCCAAGCTGTTAAACAGAAACGTTTGTGATTCAAGAAGGCTGGACTACAAGGTGACCGCGACGACGCCCCGGCCCCCATCCCCCAGGGACTCCACAGAGCAGACCCACGCCTCCCCGGGACGGCGTCTGGATCCTCGGACTGGCAGTCCCCGAGCTCCTGCCCGCAGCCGGTGTGGGCAGGGGCCTCCTTCAAGCCCGAGGGAAGGAGGCGCGTTCTCCCCTGGTGGGGCCAAGCACCCAAGGCGGGTGTGAGTCTGGACTAGCCCGTCCGTGAGTTCACTGCGTGTCATTCTCAAAGGGCGGGCAGTGGGTGTCCCTCTCCTGGCTTGGCCAGCCCAGGGCTCGTGGCCGCCGGCTGGGGAGCAAGCGGCTCCTGGTGTGGGTACACCCTGTGCTCCTAGCTCTGCCTGCTCCAGCCCTTCACAGGGAACAACCGGGCCTCATGAGCCGGGGCGGCCCAGGCAGCTGCCAGCCGACCCGCACGCCAAGAAGCCCGGCCACCCCGTCAGGCAGTGGGGCAAGCACAGGTGGCAAGGCTGGGGCGGGAGGGGTGGCCAGCAGCGTCTGTGGAGGCAGGAGACTACAAAAGCAGCCAAAACCAGGAGGGAGGGAGGCAGGAGGGAGGGAGAGACTCAGCCAAGAGAACAGGGAGGCAGCAAGGGTAAAGAAAAAAAAAGAAGTTCCAAGGAGATGAAATAGAGGGAGAAACAGGAGGTAAAGGTGTGCAAGTTTATGAGGAGTTGATAGAAGCTGGAAATCAACTCTCCAGGGTTGTGTGGGGCACCGGGAAGAGGAGGGAGGCAAAGCTGAAATAAAATCAAGGGACACAAATGGTACCTAGGTATGTCCGAATCAAGAAACTGCCTGCAAAACACAAACAACCACATGTTAGTGAGGGCCGTGGGGCCGGGCAGCAGCGGGGGCAGCGGGCAGCAGCGGGGCAGCCACGGTGGCTGGCAGCCCACGGTGGGGGATGGAGGCTGCAAAGCAAGGAACCTAGAGCAGGAGGTGGAGGCCCAGGTCAAGGCAAAGCACATGAGCAGCCCAAGGCAGGAAAGGGAGGGGTCCCGAGCCCCACAGCCTTCGTGGGGGAGGCCGGCCTCCGAGCAGCCCTCACTACAGGCACCCAGGATGTCAGCCATCACCCCAAACAGGAAGCCAAGGCCGCCGGGGCCCCAGGCAGGAGGCCGCAGTGAGGAGCAGTATGAGATCTGGGGCTGCACTGGCACGGGCAGGCGCCAGGCCTGAGGGTCCGGGGCTGGGTCTGTATCTTCCTCCTGGACCCGGGGCCTCAAACCCACACAGGGACCCTTATTTCTCACAGCTCGCGGGGAACAGCAAGAAGCAGAGGCAGGTCTGGACCTCTGGGTGCTGAGGCTGCACCGGGCAGCACAGACAAGCCTCGAAGCCCCCTGCCCAGGTCCATCCACAAGCAGCCGTCTGGCTCGGCTTGGCCAGGCCCAAGGACCCCCAGGGAGCCCCTCGGCGTTCGGGCTGGCCAGCGGAGCAAAAGACTCCAGAAACAAGGCTAAGTGCACGGAGGCAGTGGGGAAGGAGGCCCCAGGGGCACCCACACCCTCCTCCTTCTGGTCCCCATATTTTAGGAACTGCCCAAAGGGGGGCTCAGGTGTGTGTGGGGGTGGGGAATGAGGCCATTCCTGGGCTCCAGCGCTGCGGGGCGGGCAGGCCCTCCGACCCCCACACTTCCCTCTGTGGTCCAGGCCCAGGAGTCACCCCGTGGGCAGCACCCTGCCTCGGGCTCCGGGAGGGCAGCTCCGCGACAGGGGCCAGGCCTTCTCCGTGCCTGTCGGACCGCGGGTCCTTCTCACCAGCCTGCCTCTCCTTCCGCTCTTGGATGGGAGCCCCTGGCCCGCTGGCAGGCCCCCCCACCTCTGGACAGTGCCCCAAGAGTGGAGGGTGAGGGCTGGAGCCACATCCTGACCTCCACCCACCGCAGCCCAGCACCTCCCTGGCCCGTCTGGCTGCCCCGAGGGAAGCGTCCTGTGTGACTGGGGTGCTGGGAGGGGAGGCCCCTTTGCCCAGCTGTCTGGGCTCAGGAGCTGGAAGGACAGATGCTCCCTCAGAGCCCTCTGTCCCTCACCCCGCTCCAAGCACAGACGGTCCCCCTGCTCAGGCTCCAGGCTCTGTCCAGCGCCAAGCATCAGCTCTTGGCTTCTGTCTGTGCCAGGTGAAGCCAGCTGGGACTCAGAGTCCCCTCCTGCTCCCCCCGCCCTGGAGAGCAGTGTCTTCACACTGCTGGACACTTGGATACTCCCAGCTGGACACCCTCCCTGCCCGCACAGGGCAGTCCTCAAAGTGCCCGCAGCTGCTGGTGAGGCCTCTTGCATCCTCCCACCGGCAAACCCCAGCAGGGTTTCCAGAGACATCTCCAGTGTCTGGATGCAAGTGAGCTGGCAGTGCCCCGGGACCAGGGTGAGAAGCAGCCCAGTGACGAGCAGCCAACAACGTGTAGGACCTCAGCCCTCCAGCTTCACGAGCCTCTGAACCGTCCCATCTCTAGTGCCCCTAGCGGTGTGGTCCCTGGACACACGGGCCTGCTTATTAAACACCAGCCACGCCACCAGACAACCTGCCCACAGCACCTGCCTCCCAAGGCCTGGACCCAGCGAGGTGACGGAGTGACACAGCGGAGGACTCAGAGGTGGAGGACACTCAATCAAGTGAGGAACCTGGAGGCCATGGTCCTCCGCACCTGCAGCTGTCCCCTCAAGTCTCAGGAAGGAGGGCAGGAAAGCTCTGCAGCTGGACACGGAACAGGAGGCTGGGCCGGTGGAGGTCATGGTGGGCTGGGTGCTGACCCAGGCCTGCCTCCAGGGAGCTGGGGACTTACCGGTCATCCTGGGCTGGGTGGACATATCCAGAGGACAGGATGTTCAGAGACAAGATGTTGGGGTCAATCAGGGACTCGTCGGTTTCTGGAGTGTTTCGGATTCGTCCTGCAGGAGAGCCAACAGCTGCAGGTCATTTCTCGGGAGGCCGCAGTGGCCCGGGGTCACTGCATCCTTGGGGGAAGCCCGGGTAGCTAGTGGAGTCCGACAGCGCCATGTGCCACATGGGGGAAAGCACCAGGCTGACAGCGAGGCTGGACTGCGTCCCGTGTGGCTCTGGACAGTCCCCTCTCCTGTGCTCCTCCTGTAGGATGCCCAGCCTAGGAAACACAGGCCTTCCCGCCCGCAAGACGGGCAGATGTTCCTGCTCCTTTTCTATGCTTAAAGTAACAGGAATGGAAGAAAGAAGCACTCTGCCTGCCCCAGGCGCTCCTGGCACCAACCATTCCGGCAGAGCCAGCAATGCCTGCATTTGTGGTCCATCTGCAGCTGTGAGACCTGCTCATTCAAAGGAGCAGAGAGACGGGGAGAGACAGACAGAGACCATTTCCCCAGCCAGCCTGTGAGGGCCAGTCCCCCTGCCCTGCCGCAGTCAGGATCTGGTTGCCTACTCCAGGCTCTGCCCGGTTCCTGGAACTCTGACCACATCTTTGCAGCACTTGGATTGCGGGAGGAAGTAGTGTAGGGTTCTCCAAAGAGCCCCTTCTCCATGCCGGGCCCTCGGGGCCCCGGGGTGCTCACAGAGGAGAGAACCTGCTCAGAGCAGGACCTGAGTCCCGGGACCGGGCCTCTGCAGAGCGCTTTGGCTATGGTCTGACGGGGGTGGAGGGTGGGGAAGGTGGGGGGTGGGGGTACCCAGTCAGGCTGAGATGGAAGCAGGGGCCCACCTGTGCCGGGCCTGGGTGTTCATGCCAGGGCCACCCTTATTCTCTGCGTCCCTGCCCCTACAGGAAGAGGGGTACACAGTGGGGGGGGCTGGGGCTGTCTCAGGTCACATGGGGTGAAGAGGCGCAGTCCTCTGCGCAGACCCCACCCTGGGCATCAGCAGCTCCTCCAGTGCTCCCAAGCAGAAGCCCAGTGTTGGACTTGGACTTGGCCTCTTGAACTAAGAACCTGAGCACTGTTCCTCAGCTTCTTTTTGCTCAGGTGCTCTACCAGCTGAGCCACAGCACCACTCCCAGCCTTTTCTGTGTATGTGGAATTGAACCCAGGGCTTTGTGCGTGCTAGGCAAGCACTCTACCACTGAGCCACCTTCCCAGCCCTGGCCTCTATCTTTGACCTGACTCATTCTCAGATTCAAGGCCACAGGAGCGTTTGTCCACTTCTTTCCTTCTTTTTCTGACTCATGAAAAGCAGACACGGAGCGTATCAAGTGAGAGGTTTGTCCCAGTGTCCCTGGACTTCCCTAACCGCAGCCCTGCTCCCTGGGACTTGATCCCTATTTCCCCACACTGCCTAGACACCAGGTCGCCGGGGACTGGGTGGAGATTCCTGGGAGACAGCCCTCAGCTCCAGTCAGGGGACAGGCCCTTGCTGAACCACACATTGGGATGGCCACCCGTCTGTGTCTGCCTACCCTCGCAGAGGAAAGTGACAGACCAGCGTTCAGCCTGCCCCTAAGACCTGTGCTGGTGACTGGATGAGCCGTGCACCCCTAAGAGCTACGGGAGGCCTGGCCCAGAGCCTCCAAGTACAGCCTCCCGTGGAGACGGGTGCTCTGGAGCCACGCTGGGGGTGGTGGCACTGTGGGCATGAGGCTGGAGCAGCCACCTGAAGGAGAGTGACCTCCATGAAAGGCCAGGGCAGAGCCGGGAGACCGGATGGGCCTGAGCGTGCCTTGCTGGCTCTTGATGTTGAACCTCTGACCTCCAGAACTGGGACATGACACATTTCTACTGGTGCAAACAACCCAGTTTCCAGCAGCCCTAGGACCTTAACACAGATTAAATGGAAATCTGGGCGCTGTCACCTGGATCCAAGCCTCTTGTTTTCGGGAGACAGGAAGAGGCACAGAAGGGTTTTATGACTTACACAGGGCCACACAGCATGAGGGGAGAGCTGTGGCTGGAATTCAGTCATCTGGGGGAGTCGGTGCTCTTCCTAACAACCAGTCCATCCGGAGGGAGCCCCGCCTACCGCACTCACCCACGACCAGCCCACCCCGAGGGAGCCCCGCCTACCGCACTCACCCACGACCAGCCCACCCCGAGGGAGCCCCACCCACTGCACTCACCCACGACCAGCCCACCCCAGGGAGCCCCGCCTACCGCACTCACCGTGGACCAGCCCACCCCGAGGGAGCCCCACCCACTGCACTCACCCACGACCAGCCCACCCCAGGGAGCCCCGCCCACCGCACTCACCCACGACCAGCCCACCCCGAGGGAGCCCCGCCCACCCCGAGGGAGCCCCGCCCACCGTCCTGAGGGAGCCCCGCCCACCGCACTCACCCACGACCAGC